TAAGAATTTGCTTCAAGTGAGTTTTTCCATTACAAAATTTTGTGATGAGTCATCAACATTTTTGCAAGGGAACGTGTATATATATATATATATATATATATATCAATTTGGATTGATGCAGTGTAATACTAATAATAACAGTTCTGTATTCCTAAATTTTCGGGAAAATGGAGTGGGTTGTTTTGATTTAATCAATGAAATAAACTGACTAATTCATTAATTTTTTGAGTCACCCTGTATAAGTAATTCTAAAAACTGTGAATGCATTGATACATTGACAAATCACAAGTATAGAATCATAATATTTTGCATATTTTCGAGAGGATTTATTGGGTAAAATTTTGAGATGACGTCATAATTTTTTTAACGATTTACTATTATTACGATAACCTTAAAACGTTTGCAAGAGTTCGGAGCACTAGGTTTTGTAGTTTCAAAGTTAAATTGCAAAATGTTGTTATGCAATGTTGATTTTTTTTTAATCTGGATATCTGTAGGGTGGAAAATACATACGGATACATACCCCACAAGTGCAGGAGTATTTTATTTTATAAAATTAAAAAAAGCAACAATTGTACATTTTGGTGGAGGGGATGAATGACCAAATTTTGATTAGCGTTTCACCACATACATTCCTAATATACATGTGAAATTTGACAACAATCAGTCTAGTAGTTTCGGACATTATCTGTCTAATAAAAATCGACAGATAAATAGACGCCAGACGGCAGACAGGCGTAGCGTTAGACGCAATGTTAAGCATATCAATTCCAAGGATGACTCGATTACAAATTATATTGTTCGCCCTGTATTTTGACATCACCCTGATAGGCATTGTGGCCAAAAATATCTTTTGCTTAAAGATAACGAAAATATAGAGTAACAACAAATGCTTCGTAAATGTATTCCCACAAAAGATTTTAATTAGTCAAATAATAGACTCGACATTGCTTTATTCTTCATTCACCAATTTTGTGAGATTTATTATTATCTTGTCCACCATAGATTTTAGCCTGGTGGAATAATTATTACTTTAGACGTACTCTCCATTCTCATTCGAAAATGACCGGCATTCAGGCAAGACTTCTGTTGCTTCGGGTAACGATATGAATTGATAATATTGCTGATAAAATAAAACGCCTTTCAAGATCTTAGAATCCCATCATACACATCTGTCTGATATTTTTCTCTAATTCCGTTCCATGCCCAGCAAGTCTAACGTCACTTCCGATAAATTGTCCTCTCATTACCTAAAAGTTGTGCCAAGATACTCCGACCAACATGTTTAGACTGTTCGAACAACTTACGAACAATAAGACATATTCCTAGCGGAATTTTGACAAAACCGACGACATAGTAATTTCTTACTCCTGGATCTTTGATGACATTTTCTATAATTACCTGATTTTGAATCGAAAACCAAAAACCTTCTGTTTCGGCAAACAAACTGAAACTTTTCAACCAAATCAACGACATTTTTTGTTAACATGGTCTTCTTCTAAATCTTTGAAGAATTTTTCATATGTCTTCGGTGACACATAGACTTAAGAGAGTGTGGTTCAAATATACACTCATGTTCTTGTTGCTTAAATATTCTGGAAACCCCTGTTATTTTTTGGTAACGAGGATTACTCAATGTATGATTTCGGATAATATCTTCTACACTGTGCGAAAACTGTTCTTGTTGTGATGTTCAAACTTTCTTAATTACTTTTTGACCACTTAATTGCCCCCTTGCGTTTAATTATGTCTCAAAAATTAATTTTTATCTTTGAAGATACTGTTGTTTAAGTTTATTTTTAGTTTTGGGGTGGCGCGTATTACATTATTTTATTATCATGTGCTATGTATGATCTGATAAGTATTGGTTATTAAATACTTCTAGTGATTGCTTAGGTTTTACATTTCTGTCTACCATATCTCCAGAAAACTGTTGTGTTAGATTTAATAAGTTAGTTGTAAGAAAGCTTGTGATGCATTCTATTTTGGGACGAACAGTTCTTTCAGACTTTTTTAACACACGTATATTTGCTTTTTTGCAGTGAAATATTAGTTTTAAATAAATAAATATTCATGATTTTTGTGAACGAGGCAAAATAATAAAAATACTTTCAATAACCCGAGCACAAATGCGTTTCCTGAAATATCTTTTTTCATGCATTCCAATAATGCGCAAGGTAGAATGTCATTTTCAGCACGTATGCACCTGTAGCGTATTAGTATCATTTTTCTCTACTTATAATGTCATTAACTCTATCTGTGCAATAAATTAACCTTTCCGATTGAAACGTCCACACAATATGTAACTAATGAACAGAAGCAACCTTAGATTCACCGTCCTTATTACAATCTCTCGTTAAGACAAATCGTGCGACATTAAGCAGCTGCCCAAGGTTCAGGAGGGAACACTACCCGGAAAGTAGTCGTTTCCGCACTTCACCAAACCGATCATTTAATTAACCCAACTGAGATTTAACTCTCCGTTAAACGAATCCCTTTACATAACAGCATCACTCTCAGATTCTGACCCCCAGGTCACATGTGGAAGTTATTCGAGATTAAACACACAATGGAAACGTTCCAATTAAAAATAATTATGTACTAATTATCCGAAAGTGTTAATCGACGGCGTGTTGGAGATGGTGTTTAAAAGAACTTGAAACTGGAGAGACCGCAGGAGTGAAAGCTTTAAGGGATTCCTTGTGGATAATTAAGTGAGAAGGACGTTCTTATGCTGAGGTGATAATGATTAATAATAATAATTTAAAAGTGCCAATGACATGGCTGCTGGTGGATTTTTAAAGAAGTGAGCGAATTCGTTAAGTCGAGGAAAAATTCGTAATTATGAGATGAAAAAATAGTGCTAATGAGAACATTGACAGTGGAATACCTCAAGGTGTTGCACTTGGTTCGGCGGTACTTTCATTCCGTGGTGGTTATGATGCAGGAAATGCTATTTTTTTCTAAAATTCAAAGAATTCGCCAAAGTTCACGAACGTGATTACATATGTAATGCTACAAATTGATTTTTTTTTAATTTGGAGCAATTTGAACTTTTACAAATGGCTCGGCAATTTCAGTTTAAATAAATAAAATAAAAACATTTATTATATTAACTAGTATTTTTAAATGTGAATACTTTTAAAATAACACATTTTAAAACTGGTTCCGCGTCCACACTGTTAAATTTGTCTTTCTCGAGATATCATTTTGGTGTACCTCTCAAATTTTTTTGAAAAGTTTTTCCCTAAATTAAACTTTTGCACTGTAGCCACCTGTACTTAATATATATCTACATCATAATAAAAAAAAACACAGACTTAATGATGTTGACAAACCACTTTTTCTAGACTGTCACAATTAATCAGAATGACTGATGCCATAATAATAGGTTAAGTAGTTACAAAAATACCCATGCGACGCTTCGCCACTGTCCTAAAAATACACCTCCCGTATACACAAACCAAACTATGGAATGACAACATTTCCTTACTAATTTTGGCGACTTTACAAACACTGGATGGATATTACGTTCCACGAGATCTAGTCATAACGTTCTCAATAACAATGTAATAACACAATATCTGTTGACTTAATCGATCTCCGTAATGGTTTAGCGATTTTAAATGGAAACAGTACCAGTAAGTAATTTTTTGTTCAACTTGCGAATTCCTATGTAGTGAGTACGTGGGATACAGGTCGACCCTGTATAATCCAGTGTAAATTCTTCGGGCAAGTAATTAAAAAGTCAAAATGTTGCCTCAGGCAGTTTTGCCTCCTCGGATTAGGCTAGGCTTATAAGTACTTTGTGTCTCGATGGGATTGAAGTCATGATTAAAATTAATGTATGGTACTGTGAAAATATTGACACTGGGAGTAGCATTGAGAAGTGGTAGTGACGGGTTCTGATTTCCGGGAGGAATGCACACGATTAGGAAAAGGTAAAGTCGCTTAATATGGAGCAGGTTAGAATCACATTGGATTGTATGCTAGTTACTTCCAGAATTAAAATGGCAAAAATAACAGGAAAATGTTTAACGAAAACATACCATTTCAATCGCTAGATTGAAATGGTAAAATTTAAAAATATTACTATATTTTTAAATTTTAAACAATAAATAACTTGAAACATGGTACTAAACTAATGTAGTAGGTATTTAAAATGGCAAAAATAACAGGAAAATGTTTAACGAAAACATACCATTTAAATCGCTAGATTGAAATGGTAAAATTTAAAAATATTACTATATTTTTAAATTTTAAACAATAAATAACTTGAAACATGGTACTAAACTAATGTAGTATTTAAAGAGTCTATTTAAAAATGTATACACACAGGGTTCAGGATTTTTTATTTCTTACTTTTACCACATCGCAACAATAAGTGAACCCCGAATTAAGGCACAATATACCTTAAATGATATGGGACATAATAACAAATTTATAAAATTTGTAGATATAAAACACATTGCAGTTGATTAAAACATAAAATATAAGTACATACACAACTAGGTAACAAAATATAAGACCCTACATCACAAGATAAAATTTTCATCCTCTGCTAAATGTACTAAATTTATGACGGTACTGTTCAAATAATGTGTATTTGGAGCATCACAGTTAAAAGTAAACGGACATCTGCTGTTTATTCTTAGCACATTTAATTTGATATCACAAAGCAATGTCGAGCTTGTTATTTGACCAATCAAAATCTTTTGTAGAAAGATCGACAATAAAACCTGTCTTCATGCTGTAAGGGTATTTTGGTTAAGTTTCAACAAAAGATCTTTGGTGACAGATTTTTTCCAAATTTGCTTAATATTGTTTTTAATAGGTAATATAACAATATTGTAGTTTTGATCGAACTATAAAGCATAGAATAATAACTACTACTTTCATACACTAAGTTGATAAAATTTTTATGCAAGTAAATCCCACCATTCTCATTGCAAATTTTAGATATTTTTCTAAAATCTGATATAATTTGTCACATTTTTCAGTAACAGAACCATCTATAATATACACAAAATCCACCATACTATATTTCCAAGAAAATGGCATAACTTGAAAAAAAGAAGAAACTAAATGAAAAATTTACACTGAACAAAAAAGATGCTCCAGATGTATCTTACTTGTTCATAGCGACACCAAAAGAAATGGATGAAAACGACACTTGTAGTACAAGAAAATAGTAGATAATCTCAGGAATGTTGGAAACGATGAATATGTTCACAAGGACGAAACGCCGACAACGAGAAATTATAAAGATAATACGAATGGCAAAGCAGAGGCAGTAAGAACAAAGATGAAGAATGGCATACTCCATTACGTCAATATTTGGAGCAGGATGTTTTATTTTTAAATATTGCCAATAAACTAATTTATTTAAAAGCTGTATCTAATTTTAAATAAGTAAATATTTAATTAAGTTTATTCACTGACACGCTTGTAATAATAAAGATGCAGAAGTGACCGAAATACATAATTCGGAAAAACAAACAGTTCTTTACCTTCTTGCATCAACCCGAAGGTTTTCATATACATATACACACAATATTTATTGTTCTTTACATCGAATAACATGTCGACTGCACGATCTTCCCTGCATAAAAAAATGATCGAAAGTTATCCTGGCTTCTGAACAACAGTAAAACAAATCCAGCTTTTTCGAAAAATTATAAGATTTGGTTTTCTGAATTTTATTTTTAATGATAACATTTATAACTTTTATAAGACAAAATAAGGATATGTAATGCTAAATAAAGGTAAAGAAGCGTGCTACGCAATTGTTTCAGGTAGTTATTTAATTATAAAATTTTGTGGTGACGAAATCAACATTTTTACAAAGACACGTATATCAATTTGGATAGATGCAGTGTAATACTAATAATAACAGTACTTTTGGTTAGCGTTTTACCATATACATGATATTCCTAAGATACACAAAATTTGACAACAATTGGTCCAGTAGTTTCGGAGAATACGTGCGTATAAAAATCGACACAGCTGCCAGTCACACAGACGGACAGACGGTCTATATGTAGAGTGTTGAAAAAAATTAAACTTCATAAGTCTGAAATGCTAAAATTGGGTAATTTTTTTTACAATAAATTTACAATATTAAATGATATTTAAATCTCATAAAATAAAATACTCCTGCAATTGTGGTTTATGAATCCGTGTTTTGTTTAGAAATCCAAATTTTTTGCTCAGAAATCATTAAGGTAATCTTAGGTATAGTGAATTGGTAAATAAATGTTACCTAAATTTTATAAAATAACATGATGATAATAATAAACAATTCCGCATGTGTAATTCATGAGTACGTGTTCAGGTATTACACCAGCCATGCAAAATTTTTAGAAAAAAAGTCGCAATTGTAACATTTGAATCTGTAATAAAAATTTATCCGTTTATCCCTTCCCAAAAAAGATGGCATTATCTCAAAATTGCTGAATAAATCCTATCTAAAATACGCAATTTCTTACTTTTTACTTGTGGTTTATCAGTGGATTCATAATTTTTAATGATGGCCTTGATAAAATATTAATCACGTCATGACAAAATTTTGTTGAGAAAAACTCACTTGAAACATACGCATAGCATGCTCCTTTACTTGTACTTTAATAGTCCGCACATATCTTCATTTTAACTTATGGGGTTTTTCATCAAAAGGTAAAATTTTTAAAATTAAATTTTACAGTTTTTCCAGGCTTATTTCTTCGACTGTACTTTATAGGCTATGGAAGGTCTGTCGAAATAACCTTCGCCCAATTTTTTTTTATGTCTTTGTTATTTCCCAAATTGGATTATTGTACTTTGCAATTTGCCATATATTTTTGTAGACTTTTTCGAAAAATGTGAACAAGCTTTAAAAACCTCAAATGATGTTTATTAATCGCATCAAACAGCGCTTTTAGCTTTTTACTTCCCGAGCGTAAGCAAAGGAAGTATTGTAATCGAGTCCGTCGGCCGACTCTCTGCTTTTACGTTTTCTCGATCTTTCATGACCCCTAGAAGACGAAGAAATAGGTCTCCCATTTCCGTCTGTCTGTCCGTCCGTCTGTCCGTCCGTCTGTCCGTCCGTCTGTCCGTCTGTCCGTCCGTCTGTCCGTCTGCCGTCCCGGATTTTTATTAGACAGATAATCTCCGAAAGTACTGGACCGATTGTTGTGAAATTTTGTACTTATATTAGGAATATCATGTAGATGGTAAAACGCTAACCAAAATTTGTCTAATCATCCCCACCACTAATGCGATGACGTCACTTCAAAATTGTACATAGTAAATAGGTCTTAAATTGTATAAAATAACATAGTCCTACACATGTAGTTTACGACTCCGAATTCAGTTTTTACCCGAAACGTCCAGATTTTTGGAAAAAAAATCAAAATTATAAAACAACATTTTGCAATTTAATTTTGAATCTGCTAACCCGAATGTTTTGAAATGTTGCAGATGTTTTAAGGCTCTAAAGAGCATCATAAATCTTTAGTCAAAATATATTTGGTTATCCCCTCCAAAAACTTGATGACGTCAGCTCAAAAGTTTGCCAAATAAATCCTATCTAAAATGTACAAAATATGATGCGTCTGTGCTTGTGATATATCACTCCATTCATATTTTTTGGATTTGCATATACAGGGTGACTCAAAAAAATTAATGAATGCGCAAAATTTATTTTACTGATTTACTCATTAACTACAAAACCGAATGCTTCGAAATCTTGAAGATGTTTTAAGGCTATAAAGAGCATCATAAATCTTTAGTCAAAAAATATTTGCTTATCCCCTCCAAAAACTTGATGACGTCAGCTCAAAAGTTTGTGGAATAAATCATATCTAAAATGTACAAAATATGATGAGTCTGTACTTGTGATCTATCACTCCATTCATATTTTTTGGATTTGCATATACAGGGTGACTCAAAAAAATTAATGAATGCGTAAATATATTTTATTGATTTAATCAGGAACTACAAAACCGAATGCTCTGAAATCTTGCAGATGTTTTAAGGTCATAAAGAGCATAATAAATGTTTAGTCAAAATATATTTGCTTATCCCCTCCAAAAACTTGATGACGTCAGCTCGAAAGTTTGCCGAATAAATCATATCTAAAATGTACAAAATATGATGAGCCTGTACTTGTCATTTATCACTCCATTCATATTTTTTGGATTTGCATATACAGAGTGACTCAAAAAAATTAATGAATGCGTAAATATATTTTATTGATTTAATCAGGAACTACAAAACGGAATGCTCTGACATCTTGCAGATGCTTTAAGGTTATAAAGAGCATAATAAATGTTTAGTCAAAATATATTTGCTTATCCCCTCCAAAAACTTGATGACGTCAGCTCGAAAATTTGCCGAATAAATCATATCTAAAATGTACAAAATATGATCAGTCTGTACTTGTGATCTATCACTCCATTCATATTTTTTGGATTTGCATATACAGGGTGATTCAAGAAAATAAATGAAAGCGTAAATTTATTTTACTGATTTACTCAGGAACTACAAAACCGAATGCTTCGAAATCTTGAAGATATTTTAAAATTATCATAAGCATGGTAAATTTTTGATCAAAACGTATTTGGTCGTCCCCCCTAAAAAATTTATGATGTCACCACAAAATTTTGATGAATAAATCCTATCTAAAATGTACAAAATATGGTGAGTCTCTTCTTGTGATTTATCATTCCATTCAAATTTTTTCGATTTGCATATACAGGGTGACTCAAAAAAATTAATGAATGCGTAAATTTATTTTATTGATTTAATCAGGAACTACAAAACCGAATGCTTTGAAATCTTGCAGATGTTGTAAGGTTATAAAGAGCATAATAAATGTTTAGTCAAAATATATTTGGTTATCTTCTACAAAAAACTGATGACGTCAGCTCAAAAGTTTGCCGAATAAATCGTATCTAAAATGTACAAAATATGATGAGTCTGTACTTGTGATTTATCATTCCATTCATATTTTTGGATTTGCATATGCAGGGTGACTCAAAAAAATTAATGAAGGCGTGAATTTATTTTATCGATTTAATCAGGAATTACAAAACCGAATGCTTTGAAATCTTGGGAATATTTTAAAGTTATTATAAGCATGGTAAACTTTTGTTCAAAATGTATTTGTTCATCCCTCCTAAAAAAATTGATGACGTCACCCTTAAATTTTGCTGAATAAATCCTATCTAAAATGCAAAAAATATGATGAGTTTGTACTTGTGATTTATCATTCCATTCATATTTTTTAGATTTTCTTAAGAGGTGGTTCAAAAAAATTAATGAAGTCAATTTATTTTATTGATTAAATTAAAGGCAACACTTATTATTAGTATTACACCCCAACCAACCCAATTTGGTAGACACAAAATTTGTTAAAGGAAAAACTCGGTTGAAACATAAGAGTAGCACGCTTATTTACATCGCCTTTAACATTACAGACCTGCATTTGTTTTATGCGGTCACTTGGTTCCGCGAATGCGAAATAGACATGTTTATAATCAACCAATTGTGAATTTCACCGTCAAGAATTAAAATAAAACGCAATGTTTTATATAATAAGCGGAAGTCGAAGCAATAAAACCGATGGTCGTTTTGTTTACAGTTTCTCTGTTTGGCTCTCACGTATGCTGTTACGCTTGTCATCTTAAATTAAGAATGTTTATACATAAACGATTTTCAGTTGCCCCTCATATTACTAGACAGCGGATTTCTGTCGGGCTACGTCACGATTATAGGGGGGGACGTGCTGGATTCCATAAATATAATTAACGATTTATTAATCAAACGGCTAAGTAAATGAGAACGGGAATTAACAGCAGAGTGCAACGAAACAACGTTATTCTAATCTCAAATAAACGAAGTGCAGTCCGCAACGGCAATGAATTCGCATCGCGTGCGAGCCGTACCGAGTTTGGCCTTGCCTAGCCCGACAGAAATCCGCTCTCTAGATATTACACACCGGCGCCGTATACGTGAGTAAATTGTTTCGTTATTTTATTGATTATAAGAAATCAATATTCAAAACGACCCAATTCATTTTCCCGAAAATTTGGGAACACAATAATTTTATTCTTAGTATTACACTACATCTATCCCAACTGATATACGTGTCCTTGCAAAAATGTTGATGACGTCATCACAATTTTTTTTTAAATTCCCACTACAAAAATGTAATGAGAAAAAAAAACATAATAGGCATGCAGTCGTCAAGTTTCCGACAGCGAGGGAAGTACTGTCTAAACTCTTTAGACCAATTTTTTTAACTGCACAGTTCACAATAAAAATTTGACAGAATATTGAAATTGCAAACATATTTTTGTTACTTAGTGCGCTAAAAAAGACGAAAAAATGACGATTCAAAGTATTGCTAT